GTTTCGTTGACTGGAGAGGAGAGATGACGACGGGATAACGGCTCCTCTTAGTATGTACTCGAATGAAGACCTGTGGGGGTATTACTGCCGGAAAGAAGTCGTGAAGGAGACATAGGAGGGAGTACACTCACTACCCGAGGCATAGATACTCTCGGCCTGTAGGCAGAAAGGACTTACATTTCCTTTCATAGTCATAGACTTCATAGGACAATACACATACACGTGCAAAGCACGAGCCCTGCGTCTAAAAGACGTGACACGGTTAGTTGATTTCAAAAGACTCAATACTGACAGTATGACCACTTCAATACGAATCAGTACATATAAGAATAGAGGTAGATTTTCCAAATCGAATGCCTTGCGCCTCACCTATATCCCCGGCTTCATCCACCAAAAGACCAATCTCCACGACTTTAAATGTGTCAGTAGCACTGTGTGAAAGCTCGGTATTGGCGCCCAGTAGCATCCCAGACCGAAAGCCCTCACACAAAGTCAGAACCAAAGTGCCCGTCAAAACCGCTTCTAATTCTCGTTCCATGCGCCGACCAGCTCTCTTCCCTCCACTTGGAGAGCCCCATTAGAAGCGGTCCCCACATGTCCAGGTTATGGTACCAGAATAATGATATCATGACGTGCGAGGATATGCTCCGTCACACCGGCGCTCTTCCCATCCCAGGCATAAGCGAAAGTCCATGCACAGCTACTGGAGTTCTATGCAGCGTCTCCCGATACTTTTTGTATTACAGGGTTCATAGAAATAGGAAAATATTCCGAGTGTTTTGACATCAGTGAGGACAGGAGAATGAGGACGTTTTAGTATCAGAGAGTGCCGAGAAAATAGCACAAGGATGATTTGAGCAAGTCATGTATGTAAAACCTAGAAATTACCGAGGAATTCATCTGCAAGTAGAAAGTAGCCAGTCATGAGTGAGGCACCTCCGTGTGTGCGACTGGATCAGCTGCGTGATCGGGCGTTGACGAAGTTCAGTGTGTGGTAAGATTGAGCTGGAAACTTCTGCACGAAAGGTAGAGCCGACATTGAACATAATTTTTTTAACATAGATATCTATGAGTCTGCTAAAAACTTTCCTACAGACTCGCTTTTTCCTGGAAATTTTAGACACGCAGAGCCCCATAAAAGTTTAGACCAGCAGCGTCTGAAGGACAATGAGTTATTTTTGCCACCTGATTTGGGAGCTTTGATGGGATCAATTCGGTGTGCAAAGGCTGAACGCCTATTCGCTGTGATTTTTAGGAACGTTGGAGCGAAGTACCTTGCTCGATTTGGGTTCAGTCGTGCTTCGTAATAAAGTTGGCTCACGGAGGGCAAGACTGAACACCTGTACGCGGTGCCCTCTGCGAAGCTGGGAGTGAAATATTCTCCCAGAGCCAAGTTCAGTCAAATTTCGCAATACCAAAGAAGTTGGCCCTCGAGGCATTGATTCAAAATACTCCACCATGCCAATCTTTCACTCCCAACAAAGTCGATTCTTCACTAAGCCTCATCAAGTCTACAAGTACGACCTAGTACATCCTCATTCCAACGACCACACATCTCGTCGACTTTCTCTGGCCTCAGATCGTCACTAAATACACGCCCACGTCGATATTTATACCCGATGGAGGAAGCAAAGCGTGGCGGACAAGTCTGGGAGACTGTTTTTTGGGATGGACCCGAGAGGGATCAGGACAAGTTGATAAGATGATGTCGAGGATGGATACTACCTCGACGCGCATGAAATTTCGAATTTTGGCAAGGAGCTTTTACAAAATGAGCTTTCTGGCGCCAAGCCTTCGATTGCGAGAGTGCAGGCGACACCATAAACACCGCCATGGCTGCATGGTGCGGTGGTACATCATCTGGGCTGGTCTGCCAAGTAGAGTCTGGATAGCTTGGACACTCATCCCGCTTGAGACAGGAGATCGCTGGTTCAAATCCGGTAAAACACAACCACATTTCTCGCGGCGCTGGTATGCTTGGATGACCAAAGGTTTTGAAATTCCCTTTCGTGGGTACTTACGGAGGAGGGTCGACTGTTTGTGTAAGCAAGCATACCTCATCGTGGCATTTGCGAATGAAATCCAGAGTATGAGTGTCTCTAACGTCAATAGATTCATCCTACATGTATACATAGCACCGGTCATGTGTCATAGCTCCATAGCTGAATATACATTAAATGATTTAAAAAAGTTGGCCCACGTGGCAACAATTTGGGGCTCCATACTGGACAAATCTTTACTCTAAAGTAATTTTGACTAGAGCCTTATAAAGTATATCTAATACATCCTAACTTCAATGAATACACTCGTCAACTCGCTCTCTGGCCTGAGCCGGCCGCCAAGTACACGCTCACGATAATATGAATACCCACAGAAGGAGACTGGCGTATGATACACTTGGACAGATAGGCAAGGTGATACTTAGTATGGATATAATCTTGGAAGAGGTGAAATTCCAAATTTTCAGAAAGATTTTTCACCTTGCTGAAAATCGGCGTGCCACAACCTCGATTGCAAAGGAATTTCAGAGCATGAGTGTGTCTGAAGCTGAAGGCGTCATCTCACATGTATTCAAGATACGGATCATTTTTCATAGCAAGATAGCTATACACAATTAAATAACACAATTAACTTGATTGTGGCGCCATCTGGACAAAGAAAGGCCGCCAATAATTGATTTGCGCCCACGCTATACAGTCGCGTCTGTACCACTAAGTTACCTGAAGTGCTACGTCATGAGATATCCCAATCGTAATGCTACACTCAAGGCTGTGTCCGGAACGTGGACCAAATGAAATGTCACAAGTTCAGAACAGCATGGCTCTCTATTCCCGGCCCTACTCTTGACCGACTCAGTGACACCAATGATAACCAACAGCCCGATGCAATGAGCAATTGTGCATCAGATACGTACAATGTCTGGAGAGCCTACTTCTTCACGGGGAAGCCTTCGGTAAATGACTGGGAGACCCAAGCCTTGAGACAGGAAGAGGGTAGAAGGGCTAAAGGACTGGGAAGGCTCTATCAAGTGCAAGCCAGGAAAAGATCACCTATCATCAAAATGAGACCATACAACTTCAGTCATTACGGTAGAATGACACAATCTTCATTTATACAAGCAAGAACAGGGATTGGAAATACCAGGGCCCATTTATTTCGAATTAAAAAAGTGAAGGATAACTCTTGCAACTTTTGTTGGAAGGGAAAACAGACTGTTCAACGCCTACTTCTTTATTGTAGTAAGTTTAAGATCGAAAGAAAGGAAGCTTTTAAAGGTATACTGCCATTAAGATTAGAGATATTTTTTAATACAAATATTGGAAAAGAAGCAACTCTCCACTTCCTTCAAAGCAGTGGATGCATGAATGCATCCAAAGCTGACTGAAAGGGAGGAGACTAGAAGATAAGTAAAGGAAATCGGGACTGAATATTTGTATTTATATATAAAATAATCAGATGTGTCATAGCTAGATAGCTGAATACACTATGAATTAAAAAAAAAAAAGCCTTCGGTAAAATCTTTCCTATGAGATGCGGCCGGGAGTCGGAGAGCTGCGCGAGGTAAGCGAGAGGCAAAGATCCGTCTCCACAATCATGTCTCGAGTGGAAGCGGGAGGGGTAAGTTGGCGACGAGTTTTCGACAAACCGTCAAAGTGCGAAGCTCGCAGAGGATAAGTGTGAGAGGGAATGTTTCGGCCAAGCTTATTCCAGCGGTAAATGCTCTAGATCGCTGAGAGGGAGAAATCCCGAGCTCAAGCTGTTCGAAATGGCGGCTTGGTAGGCGTGGAAAATTTGAAGATTGGTTATGTCCGAATCGTGGGTGTTTTGGGCCCAAGGCCAAATCACCCACGATATCTCGGCATAGGGCCGAATCTTGCGATTGAAATCCTCTGATTCCATGGCCGACTCGCCGGTCGGCTGTCGCGGCCAAATGCCATTGGACATGAGTTTAGAATTTTTCTTGGATTCTCTTCGAAGTCTATGGCTGTAGGGGACTGAGGGAAGTATCTAGAAAGCTCTCAGAGTTACTAATAATATCAGGCTTTGAATCGTCCAAGATTTTCCTCTCCATACTGAATATCATGCCCTCATATAGATAATTAAATAAGCTAGACCGTAGTGCCTGACGGCCATAAAGTAAATTACTCGGGGCGCACGCCAGTACTTGTGACATGCATTGCTATGAATGCACGCTAATGTCTTCTTCTGTCAACATAGATGCCGGTATTTTTGGAAAAGGTATCTCATGCAGATATCTGATGAGAAATCAACCTTAACATGCATGCCATGGGTACAATCCCCGTCGGATCTATCCGATCGAGTTTGGCAACTTTAATAAATCAGATATGCTAAACGACAAAGTTATTATAAGTTTCAGGCCGGACCCCATTTTACACCATAATAGAGCTACACATAAACCGCGGAATTTCCATCCAAGATACCGAGAAAAGTTAAATTTTTTGCGAGATTACTCTCGTCCGTAAACGATGCTCACTACGTTGCCTAGTTCACATCACAGATTAAGATATACTTTCTTCGACAATGACTAAGTCTCAGACGAAAATTTGTGCCAGAGCTCTTTTGAAGAAATGTACTCAGTTCTAGATTCTGACTCTGGCATTGCCTCACATTTTAAATTTTACAAAGTATGCATGGATGAAAGTCTCGATTCGGACTTTAGTGTTAGTGAGATCATTGTTTTTGGTTACGGATACGATACAATAATATGACCCTTATTTACCCTCGTCCATGTCGCTCAAAAGCTGTCGGCGAGCAACCCATACTGCCTTAGAACATAACAAGAACGCATTTGGCGTTCTACCAACAAGCAAACCACCTCCCATTAGATAAACTCTGAAACGCCCTGCTAAATACAAGTATGTGAGATATTCACTTAGAATCCATCCGGCAACTCTTCTCATCCCAACTTTAAGTGAACCAATCGTGTTTCAAAAGAATATTTTCCAGATGCTCTAGACTGCTGCTTACTTCCGCTACTTTCAGGAAATACCGCCATTACTCTGATTCTGTGTACTACGTATAGAACGAACATGGGAAAGCCTTGGACCCGGTGCTCTCATGGTTATTCTCGATGACTCCCACTGCCTAGGATGATTATCTGTTTCCATTACCGTACCCATCATAGAGTTGGCACTTAATCTCCTGAGTGGCGGGATGAGACTCGGGCGAGAAGTAAAAGAAGAGTTGATGGGGACGCGAGAGGACGAGAGGATTGTAGATGAATTAGATGGAGAAATTGTTTGTGAGCTCGCAGAGGAAATTCTCGAGCGTCTGCCTGTACTGCTGCTAGAACTGATACTGCGTGAACTTTCGCTATTCTGCCTAATTATTTCTTGCAGAGCCTCGGGGATACGGTACCATTGTTCTAACCTCGTAGTGCTAAAAAATCTGGAGGATTGTGCTGGATACTGTGGGCCGGTGGCTGGCCGGGTGCCAGTTATGTTTGCATTGGGTGAGAAATCAGTTGACAAAAAAGGCAGGCCACCAGCTTCTACTGCATCTTTAAACCATTGCTCCCATTCTTCATCCATAATAGTGGAAGAGTTGCCGGCTTCGCGTTGAGCCACGGCAGCCCTTAAGCGCTCATTAAGTGCCGTTCCAACGCTTTGAACCTCAATATCTGACTCCTCATCGCCGTCTTCGTCAATTGAAGTTTCGGCTCCTTCTTCTGATTCGTGTGTTTGTTCCTCATGTTGATTATTATCCTGCATTTCATCCATCTCAGCAAATCTTTTGGCGGCAGTCGCTGCTGGAGTACGTAATTCGGGCTCAACCCAGTCAGCTATGCCATCGGCAGTCGTATCTCGAATAATTATTCCTTGCTCCCGTTCAAACCGTTCCTTGGCCCATCTTGTCCCTTCCCATTTGGTCAGTCCTGCGATCTCAGATTCAGTAAGGGCTAGATTATCAAACGCTCGAAAAAGACGTCGATGCCATGGATAGCGAGAAAGACGGGCTCGATGCGGAGGGTAAGAATAATCAAGACCAGGATACTTTGCTTCCTGGCTAGAAAGGTGACCGTAGAAAGCCTGTGTCTCGAGACGTACTTCAGGAACCAACTGTCGATGTAGAAGCCCTTGAAAATTAGGTGGATCATTAGATTTAGGTTTGGGATACATAAAGTTGTAGACAAGCTGATCGACAGCAGGTCCCTTCATTTTGCTGACAAGTGAGAATTGAAGGGGCGGGGTAAGGTGGCCAGATTAGTCCCTAGATAGTCTTTACAGTACGTTGCTCTCGGAACCTTAGAGGCTGTTCTATGCCCGTGTTGGATATCTCTACGTATAACGTTGCAGTAAAATCTGCGATCGAGTTTTTAGGGAGGTAGGAGATTTGATCCAAGCAGTTAATTCAAGGTAGTCGCTGACTCCCAAGTTAGCGCGATAATGACTTCGAAATAGGCTGGTGTGAAAATTACCCAGTAATATGCCAGTTGCGTAGTTGCAGGCTTAGAGATGATAGGTTTTGTTGTATTTGAGGTCTAGTTGCACCAAGCTTCAATCAAGGTAAAGTGTGTGTTCGGATCGAGAAGACCCAGGCCTGATGATGAAAGCGACGAAATTGGCCGCAGATCGGGGAGAATTCAGGACGATTAGAGGGCTGCTACGATGGTATCGATGAATTAGCGGAGTTGTGGTGGAATCGACGGGAAAGAGCTAGCTGAGATTGGGGTGAAAAGACCGTGAAAGGCTAAATGTAGATTAGTTGAGAGTTTGGAGCCATCCGTTGGACATTAGGGAGGCGCTGGCCAAGGAAAGAACACGACAAGACGAAACTTTCCCGTCTTGTTTGATAACGGTCACAGACAGGTTCTCTGTCCTTTGCTGTTTAATCGATTCGCTGACACTTCCAGTGCGATCATGACCGCTCTGGCCTCAGCCTAGTCTATTCGTTGTTGGTCGTGGATGATGGGGGTCCTAGATCCTTGGTAACCCATAAATGATATTTACTACTGACTTACCTTTCATTGGTCCTGGACCTTGAAATGGAGGGGTTAGGGCTATTAGGGTTAGGGCGGGGGGGGGGGGGGCGCTGTCTAAGTCAAGCCAAAAGAAGCCGGGGCAACTTGTCTGAGATGTGATACATTTGACATATCTCAGGGTGCTGGTAAAGCGCAGCCTAGTTATTCTTCCAACATCGCAAACTTCGCTTGTACTCAATATTTATCAAGATAACCTCAAAATATCGTTGAGCTAAGCACAATCTCGTGTTATTTCTAATTTCTCACGTTATAACTAAATCTAGCTTGGTGAAACTGAAAATCACTACTGTGATGATTAAGTCATCATCCTTTTATGCCGCAGGAACCAAACTTAGACTTGATTGATCTCATATCAATTAATATCCGTTTTCAAAATTGAGGATCGGTAGAATTCTACTTGGAAAAATGGCACTTCCACAACTACATGATGAAAGTCTCACAGTCGGCTCTAAGCTTATACTTCAGCTTTCTGGTAGAAGTGTTGGGATTTTTCAGGGTTTATTAACATGGAACAGTTACCTACGTTTTTGATACAATTTATTTTAAAAACTACTGCCTCATGCAATTCTTTTGTTGGTGTATTAAGCTTGTCATTCGGTAAGGTTCAGATTACTCCAACGTGTCCAAAATGGCCTCTTCAGATCTAGGGGATCACTCAGCCATCGTTCCGAAGAATTGGACACGTGTGTCAGTAGTCCTTTGCTAAGGTATAGAACAAGAGTCATGAGTTTTAACAATAAGACTTTTAATTGCTGTGTTAACCTACATCCGTTACACCTATCTCTGTGCCCATTCTTCCTATACATGCCATATCACCTTGAGTTAGCCGCATTCTGAACAAAGGAGCTTGTAAATTCATAACCTAAGCCAAAATACCATAACTCAAGCTGATTTTTGTAGAAGCCTCAAAAATTGATCAGTGTATATAAGTATTTTACACCATTCAGTCAGCCTTAAGTATCTTTCAGCTAGGCATCCACTGTGTTAATTCCAAATAGCCTTAATTATATAACAGAATATTACAAAATTTTCTCTTATTGGATGTAACACAGGGTAGCTTTAAGCTTCAAATTGAAAATATTTGTCATTAATACTTCAAAATACTTCATTTTTTCAAATTGAATAATTACTAGACCAGTTTGCTCGGCAAAGCCTACCAACTTTGAAATAAGAACTCTTAAAGTTTTATTACTAATGGTGCATTTTACTGAAGTTTAATAGAATATTTGAGAAAATATGTGTGCCTCAAGTACTAAATATAGTGCTCTATTTTTTTTTAATTTCTTAAGATGGCACTTTCTCATACTTGACACATTGTAGCATGGCTCACTCATGATTAATAATCAGACATGGATTAGGCGATTAAGACTCTAGCCTGCAGTTTATTTTGCTTTTTGTACTAAATTTGACCCAGAAGTATTAATGCCCATGTCCAAAATACCCGTCATTACTCGCCTAAGCAGTCTTGGCTGGATGTCAAAGCTACAATATATTCATTGAAATTTGGTATTAGACCGTTAATTCCATACAAACACCCTGTCAGTGCATGCAGGTATCTCCAACTCTATTATTTGCTAAGGAAGAAATCGATTCGGCATCAAACCCTGAATTCGTCTGTTTTATCTCTCTCGAGCTTCCAGGGGTTTCCAGGGAAGTACACTCACGCTGTTTATTCAGTGTGAATACCGTCCTATGTTTTTCTAGGTGTTCTCAAAATTTCATGAAATCCTAACCTCGACTCCTTAAAGTCCACTTTTTCGCACCAGGCATTACTCCCGATCCGCTTTATAATCCTAACAACAAATTTTTGGCTGATCATCATCGCTTTTTTTATTCTGTCCTTTCACATTCTATGAATTCATAAGAAAAGGCCATCATGGCTCTCTTTTGACATAATTTAACGTGTACTCAGCTATCTATCTATGAAAAATTATCAGTGCTATAAGATAAGAATATTTATTATAGTCCCTTCCGAGTCTAAGACTATGAAGGACTCAGTGCTATGAATACGTATTTGATGACTCTTTTGACGTTAGAGACACTCACACTCTGGATTTCATTCGCAAATACCACTATGAGGTATGCTTGCTTACACAAACAGTCGACCCTCCTCCGTTAGTACCCACGAAAGGGACATTTCAAAACCTTTGGTCATCCAAGCATGCCTTCGTCATCCATGCATACCAGCGCCGCGAGAAATGTGGTTGTGTTTTGCCGGATTTGAACCAGCGATCTACTGTCTCAAGTGGGATATGTGTCTAAACTATCCAGAATCTACTTGAGAGACCGATCTAGTTGATATATCTCTGCACGATCCAACCATGGCGGTGTTTATAGTGTCGCCTGCACGCTCGCAATCGAAGTCTTGGCGCCAGAAAGCTCAATTTGTAGAACTCCTTCCAAATTCAAAGTGATATCCCTTCTGGAATAGTATCCACCATTTACATCATCTTGTCCACTTTTGTAGATCTCTCTCACGCCAATCTCAAAAAACTGTTTCTCAGATTTGTGCACCACAATTTGTCTCATCCGGCGGCTATTCATATTCTTGTGGATGTGGATATGAAGGGCAGGGACTGATTTGAAGAGTGGTGTAGTTATTGAAATAAGTATGAACGAAGTCCTACTTGCAAACTTGATGATGCCTTAGTAGGAATCGGTCTCGTTTGGAGAGAGAGAGAGAGATTGATTTGGTGGAGGGTATGAAATCATTGCCTAGTGGGTAAAATTCTTTGGTATTACCGAATTTGGCTGAACTTGGTTGTGAGAGAACACTTCAGCCCAGGTTCTTTTAAGACACCACGTTTAGGTGGTCAGTCTTTGCTCTCCAATCATGGCTTCATAGAGCCTGTCTTGTAGCAGTTCCTACTCATTCTCTCGTACCCTTGCACACCGAGGATATGTTAAGACCTATTGTTGGAAATTTATTCATTTCATTGTCCTTTCTGAGTCTAAAATTATGTAGGACATGCTGGTCCTCTCTGCCTACAGGCCAAAGATACTTATACCTGTAGTATATCCCCTCCCACGTCTCCCACATAGCTCCCCTCAAACAGTACCGCCCCTCACAAGTCCTCATTCGATCATACACTAGGAGGAGCCCTTTGCCCTTCATTATCTCCCCTCTCCAGCCAACGAAACAATGGCCATTTGCGAGTGTATGGCAGCGCGGAAAGATCGCAAAAACTACTGGGTGCGGAGCTCTTCTTATACCGACATTAGGACTAAATCCGAAGACATAGTGTTCCTTCTGAAGCGTTCGAAGAGGCCGGCCAGCTGGGTGCTGCAGACTTGTGAGTACCTCGGGAAATTCACACTCTGCCTTTCTAGCCTCCTCTCAACTCCTTCCCAAAGATCGTGCTGAAATATCAGAAAAACCTAGATAGAGCGTGATTACTGTATGGTAGCTTAGCCCAACTTCTTTTGTGCCGTCCAGGGCGCTAGGGAGTGTCGTTGACTTATCGACAAAAGAATTCCTGGCTAATTTGCCGAAATCTTGGTTTTTGTGGCCACAAACGTTCCAAAGTTAAAAACTACTCGAAAATATCAGTCCCAGAATGGGATTCAGAGACCTGTTCCCCCTCTCGTTCCACAGCTCAGTCGCCTGTTCTCCTTCAAGTTGTTTGTCATATTAGAGCAGCAGTTCCCCATAAGTCATGACCCAGACTTTGTCTATTTGGACTTGATATCCTCTTTGCGGGTATAAAAAGAGTCGTAAATATATAGTGAGAGATGACTGGAAATTAACGGGCAAGCTCCTGTTTGCAATTGAAGCAACCTTTTTATTGGTCGTTGAGGCGAGATGATGCGTGGTTAGAGAGAGGTTGAGGACTCAGATGAGAATGGTAAGAGAGGCATTGTCGAGGAATTTTCAAACGGAGACGTGCTTGTGTTTGCTTTCGACTCCGATTCAGTTGTGATTCTTCTTGGCCATCCCAGATATGCAGAGCACACTGAGCGATTACACCGCACCACTAGAAGGTGAAGAATTCGCCTTTGCCGCCATACATACACAAGATGCAGTATTAGGAGCATACGAACTCCTATCATACTAGTAAATAGTAGACGCACGTTCTCGTCTAGGTTCAGCCCCACAGGATAACGACGTTTACTAGATCAAAAATTTTAAAACATGCAAGAAATAATGAAAACCACCAGCCGCTGCAAAAGTGTGAATATTCATAGAGTTTGATTACGAGACGTTGCTAGGTCAATTTCTGTAAAATTATGTATGGAATTTGGCCGCCGAATCGATGAGATAGGGAAGACTTGGTCTCCAAATTACCGGCCTTAGTTGATACACTAGATATCTTCATGATAATCACCCTCTATCAGCCTGCTTAATTGATAGCGCTGATGCAGTCATGCAAATATCTTTATCTTAACTCTTAAGGAAATAATGACCCCTCAGTCATTGAAGCTGTAGAGCGCATTGATTCAAGTAACTACCGAAGTGAAACTAAGTACAGAATTTGCAGTCGCTTTTGTATCAACAACGTGGCCCACTTGATAGCCCCAATTATTCTAAATCTTAACACTCTTGATCATTTATTGTGTATTTATCTTTATAGCCATGACAAATGACTTGCGCTTTGTGTACATATAAGCTGACTCTTTTGATTTCCAAGACACTCATAATCTGGATCTCATCCGCAAATATCACTTTGAAGCATGTTTATTTACACAGAGAAGTCGAACACCCCTTGTGGGTACCCACCAAAGGACATTTCGAAAATGTTTGGATATCCAAGCATACCTTGGTCTTCTACCCACACTGGCAGAACGAGTAATTTGACTCAGTCTTGCTGGATTTGAAACAGCCACCTCCTGTCTCAAGTGGCATATTTGTCTAAGCTATCCAGACTCAACTTGCGAGACAAGCCCGTATAATTTGCCATCGCCCCAATGTGCTAGATAGTCTATGACTTAAGTAGGACAATTAAAATCAATACAAACAAACACAATTTTTCATCGCCTATTTTTTCAAATCGAAGTCTTTTAGCGCACAAGGGTTGTGCTGGTTCGGTTGAGTTGTTAGGAGACAGGGGAACGGAGAATGGGCTACTGGATTAGGAAAGAGTTGAAAATACAGGCTGGTGCACAGACGCTGTTCATTCACTTTGCAATTTTACACCTGCCGAGTTAAGTGGATCAATTTATCAGAATATTATCATACTTCACATCATCGATCAGATATACTATCAATCGTCGGGATGCACATCTAGCATCACCTTCATAGATCACCATTGTCCGTAAGAGTTCACCTTTGATACCTATTGACACCCATTTGGCCACAGTGATACACACTCAGTGTCCATAGTGCCATCTCCGCGACTCACCATTGCACATAAGCCCCTGTCACTCTCCCGACGGACAGTAGAGTCACAATTGCCATGTACCTCACAGCTCATAACCACAAAAATAATGCAAAATGCAAGATATAAAAACTGCCTTCCAAAAATGAATCTCACCCTTTCCAAGATTGTATTCATCCCTACTTTTTTCTTGCCTATCTGTCCTGATATAGCTCACGCCCATCCCGAAAGTCTATCATCCAGATTCGTGTAATACAATTTGGCTCCACAGACGGATATTCATACTCTTGTGGCCGCGTATGTGGAGCCTATCTGAGGCCAGAGATCGATTTGATGGAAGGTGTGATCATTAAAACAAGGATATAGTAAGTCGTTCCTTTGGTCTCGATAAGGCTTTGATTGGAATGTAGTAGAATATTTCATTCCCAGGTGCCCAGCCTTCAATTAACAAAGGTCTTAATAACTTTAGCAATGCAGATGTATTAAAGTTTTAGTAATTTGAAGCTCATTAGTGGCATTGTTCATCCACAGCAACTAAAATCAGCATAATTCTACTATCAAAGGACTTCAAGGTTATTCACGAGCTTGGATTTCTGATTGAGTTGATATATACTTATCATATGAAGATCTTAGTTTAGTCGATATGTCCATCGTGTGATGATTTTATGTCAGAAAGACTCAAATTCTAACGGGTTGTCACAGGCACAAGTTAAAGGGCTAGCCACTTTAATATACGTACATAAGCTGGAGCATGAGTGTAGCAACAATCTCTAATTTAGAGCCTGTGAAATAAGATTCGGGTTGCGAGTTGTTAGGTAATATATGTGCTAAAGTCGGAGAGCCTTATATTGATCTAGGGTTAACGACGGGAAAAATCAACTGGGCGGGAATAAGTTGATGTGGACTACAATTAAAAACGGTTTAGGGTTTTAAAATTGGATGACGAGTGAAAAGCTTTCTATTGAATAATATAACCATGAGAGAGCCGGGAGATACAAGATATGATGTTGTGTAGCTTTCAGCCCTCATTCTATTTAGGGATTGATTGCAAAACCTAGTCAGGGAGACTGTTTTGTAGACATGTGAACGGTACATCAATTTCTGAATATATTCTCGGAAAAATAATTGGAACACTTTACTATTGTAAGCATGTAAACACTTGATCCTTAGAATTGGGGTTTCAGCTTTTGTATTTTCTGTTTCCGGATTCACAAAAGATGAGGGAAAATTTGTCAAATGTGTGTCATCACTATGATTATTGAACGATGTATGTAGTTGATGCTGTAAAATTATGAGAGGCTATATTGGGCTGTAGAAACACATAGCAAGAAATCAACAAGAAATTGGATATGTAAGAGGTTCAACTATTGTCGCGCTATATGATCCTATACCTGACGAGAATTTACACGCAATCTTGTTTACTGGGCCCAAAAACCATATCAGAAGAACTGTTCTTGAACTTAGGGATTAATTATCTGTAAAGCAAGAAAGAAAATAAAAAGCTTGGAGCCGTAGAAGTGGTGTACTAAGAGCGGGACGTCTCAGGTACTTCCTAATATTAATGTGGCGATTCCTCGATCATCGGGAGAAAATGGTGAAATTGTATGATCCAATTTGGTCTAATTAGCTATATTGGATTTAAGAATTGGATCGATAGTTAACCCTATAGCCATGGCTGAAAGACGAATAGCTCTCATCGGGGTTAATTTTCATTCTTGAGTCTCCTGGGAACAGCTGAGAGGAAGATGTACCGGGAGCTGCCAATCCTGATTAAGAATAAACGGAAATGGCCACGCTCAGTGATTCATTGCCGTCCAGATTTTGTGCGCGAATGAGACCCTACAAGCTTTCCGCATGCATATCGCTTGCTTTCGGCTGGAAGCGAGGGCTAGTGGCCAAAGATAGCTGAGCCATGCTGGAATGAAGGGTAGGCCCGATGAGTATTACACGTCACACTTGCAAGTACAGTGTATTTGCCCTTGGCGCTCTACAATTTTACGGCGGTGTAATTGCTATGCTCCTGACCGAAGGAAGCTCCTCAACAGAAATGTTACAGTCAACGCAATTCAAATGTCCACCTGTGTCTAGAAAATATCTGAGGCTTCGAACAAGAAGCATGACCGTGTATTGAGGCCAACAAGACCATAGTAAGCTATGAAGCCCGAAATCGTGTACATAGGTAATTTTATCTTTTAAAACCTTGGAAATGCAACTTCAACTGGGCTCACGTTGAGGGTAGATCTCGCTAACTAGCGCACCGTCGGACAACCCAATTATTTAGTGATGGCTTGACTCCCGCACGCCGATCGGTGCCCAATAATCTTTCGATGCATATTATTCTTTACCCGTCGAATTTTCCCTGACATTTTGGTGAGATCAAACTGAAGAAATATTCCAGAGCATCATCGATATTATCGTATTTTTTGATTCAAATTCTTCAACGACCCTCTCTTGCCCAGCATGTTTAACAACCCCTCTACGGACGTCAGAAAAATGACTTATGCTCAGAGAGCAAAGACTGCTACCCATCCTCTTTCCTCTTATCTACTTCGACTCATGGCCATGAAGAAATCCAATCTCTGTCTCTCAGCCGACGTCACTACGGCCAATCAACTGCTCTCGCTTGCAAATAATATTGGACCTTCAATTGTTATCCTGAAGACACATTATGACTTAATTAGTAATTGGGACTATAGCCCTCATACTGGCACCGGTGCACGACTTGCGGAAATTGCCCGTCGTTATAACTTTCTTATTTTTGAAGATCGAAAGCTTGGAGATATAGGGAATACAGTTCAGATGCAGTATACGGAAGGTACAGCTCGGATAATTGAATGGAGCCATATAACTAATGTTAACATGGTGCCTGGTAAAGCAGTTGTGAGTGCACTTGCTCAAGCAGCCGAGCGGTGGAGTAAAAATAGGCAATATGAAGTCAAAACAGATATATCTGTGGGAAACTTCATATCAAAAGAAGAGGATTTAATTGGTCCATATGATCTGAGCGATCAGCTACCTACATCCCAACTCGAGCAGGAAACCTTCTCCCTCGTATCAGATAACTCTGGCCGAAAGTCAAGTATTGTGTCAGTTACTACGGTGTCACAGCATTTCGAACCCATCAATTCGCCGAGGAATAATTATTTACCTACGACACAAAGTCTACTAGATATTGAAGAGGCTCCCATGGAAAGAGGATTACTTATATTGGCACAGATGAGCTCTGAAGGTAATTTTATGACAAGGGAATACACAAATGCCTGTGTGGCTGCAGCAAGGGACCATCGAAAATTCGTCATGGGCTTCATATCGCAGGAGTCTCTCAATACTGAACCAGATGATATGTTTTTGAGTATGACACCTGGCTGCCAACTTCCACCAGATGACGAAGACGAAAGTAGCAAGCTCGTTGGCGATGGAAAGGGCCAGCAATACAACACGCCTTCTAAAATAATTAACTTGATGGGAAATGACATTATAATTGTTGGCCGTGGTATAATCAAGGCTGACAATCCAGTCTCTGAGGCCGAGCGCTACCGAAGCAAAGCGTGGGAAGCTTACGAGGAGCGTATAGCTCTTGTACGATGAAATTCCTTTATCCATTAACTTATCAACTACCTTACAGTATTTTCGTCAAAAGCCAAGGCTAGATAGTCGCAGAGTTCAAAACTCAAAGAGCCAGTATACAGCTTTTCACTTTGGTTATGAATTTCATATTAACCAATGGCCATTATCTTTAATAAGGGGGACTTTAACTCAAATACCGTTCCATCCCTGCTTTCCTTATCTCGGGAAACTTAAGACTGGAGCTTCTCCTTCATTTTCACATACTTGAGTGGTATCTACGTTTCCTGTGCCATATGATCTATGACCTCATGTTTCCAATTAAAAATACGAGTATCATCTACACGATATGATCTCTGGCCTTTCTGTTGAACTTGTCATATCCAAATCCTGTTGAATCCATCAAAAATGTAATAAAATTGAAGGATTATAGATGTTCAAAAAAACGGAGTTGGTGAAAAGCTATGTCATCTTGAATTTTTACTTGAGAGATAACCAAAAAAATTTATCTAACAAGCAAGTTCTGATCTTTAGCAACAGCAATCAGCTACATACTTACCGCTGAATGTATACTTTTTTACACGACCCGCAACAAAAACAGGAGGAATTTGATATTTAAAATAAAACCCAGAATAACGTACACTAGGAAGAGCTGCCTGAGAATGTTGGAAGTAAAATTTAAGGATAATTATAACCCAAGATAAAGGTATATAATCTGAGATTTAAAATATCTCTTTAGTAAAATAGTGTAACAGTAAAACCCGAAGATAATACGACACTCCAGCTTCATATATCAACAATTCATCTACCACAATAGATCTAGCTAAATCTTTAAGAACGTTTATTTGTGCAGAGGGCCAGATTTCAAACCATACCGAGCTACTAGGATATGTAATTGATGGAATCTACCAGTCTCAAATACATAATGGCTCAACTGGTATTAGACCAGTACTATTTGGATAATAAACACTAGTAAATTCATCAAGTTAAAAGCATCGTTCATAAAATTTGATTTGATATTACTCACCGAAAATGATATATTCTGATTATTCTACTCCACGACCTACATATCCAGCCTTTCTCGGGAATTATCAACCAGTTGAATCATGTGCAATCTTTATTCAGGTAAAGAGTGTTTTAATAAAGGAAGTAATATAGTTGCATTACAATAAACTGTTTAAATTAGAATGATGTGCACATATGCAAGAGATATGATTGACCCATATCATCGCTTATTGTTATAATTAAGCATATCCAAATAGGTTTTGAGCGGCAAATATCGGCTCTAGGATCCCTATTATCTTTTATGTCTCAGGTAGACTAAAAAATATATTGGAACATCCACTAGAATGCAGAAACCCCCTCGCTTATATGTGTATATGTATAATCTTGTCTACTGTCTTATTCGTTTCGTATAGAAAGGTCTATGAAGGCGATGGACGCATTATGAAGGGAAAAAGCTCTAAAGCAAAATACCCAGGTCCCCCCCGCCACGATGACACGACCTAGCTTAGTGCAGAGGAGGTTCCTTTCAACCATTAATTCGTAGTTATTTGCACTAATTCCGTTAACTCTTTCATCGATAAGAATAGACTCAAGAAAGGCTAAATTGATAAGGCATCTCCTCGCTCGGCGTATGTCGTTGATGTGTTCGAAGAGATGGTCCGGATAGTAATACTTCTGCCGGTGTATTTGATGTTGCCGCTAGGGCCACGACTTTCTTTCATGGAATTCTAGGCCCCCGTCTTGATCCTTCAGCCTTAGTGGTGATCAAATTAAATCCGTTTTTATCAGTCGGTCAAACTATCCATAATGTTGCCACTAGTTGTTCTTCCATCCGTATATCCGCTGAACAAGATAGAAGCTCGGAGGACGAAGGCTGAACACCTGTCAGTGGTGTCCTCTACGAACCTGGGAGTGAAATATTCTCCCAGAGCCAAGTTCAGTCGAATTTCGCAATACCGAACAAGTTGGCCCACGAGGCAATAATTCAAACTACTCCACCACGTCAAATTTTCACTCCCAACGAGTCCGAATCCTATCTAAGCCTCATCAAGTTTACAAGTACGACCTAGTACATCCTCATTACAATGATCACGCCTCTCGTAGACTTTCTCTGGCCTTAGCTGGTCGCCAGGTACACGCCCACGCCGATATTTACACCCGACGGAGGAAGCAAAGCGTGGCGCACAAATCTGGAAGACAGTTCCTTGGGATGGATGTGAGAGGGATTAGGACAAGTTGATAAGATGATGCAGAAGAGGGATACATTCTCGGCGGGCATGAAATTTCGAATTTTGGCATGGATTTTTTACAAATTGAGCTTCGTGCGTGCCAAGATTTCGGTTGCGAGAGTGCAGGCGACACTATAAACACGGCCATGGTTGGATGGTGCGGTGGTACATCGTCTTGGTTGGTCTGCCAAGTAGAGTCTGGATAGCTTGGACACATATCCCACTTGAGACAGTAGATCGCTGGTTCAAATTCAGAAAAACACAACTACTTTTCTCGCGGCGCTGGTATGCATGGATGACGAAGGCATGCTTGGATAACCAAAGGGTTTGAAATTCCCTTTGGTGGGTACTAACGGAGGAGGGTCGACTGTTTGTGTAAGCAAGCATACCTCATAGTGGTATTTGCGAATGAAATCCAGAGTGTGAGTGTCTCTAACATCAAAAGAGTCATCCTACATGTATACATAGCACCGGTCATGTGTCATAGCTCCATAGCTGAGTACACTTAAATGATTAAAAAAAAAAAGATAGAAGCTCAATCTGAACCTTCTCAACATTCCCCTTGTAGACCTGGTAGGTCTGACACGCTGCTTTTTGCCATGAAACGCATTCCTTGCTGCAGCTTGCTCAAGGAACTTTTTTCCTCGGACAGTCCTAAGCTTGGTGGAAACTAGTGCATTCACTGCGCCGACTGTCTTCCCACACGATGCCTACGAGCGTCCCCACTTATTGCAGTTAAACACTACTCAGGCTGTGCCTGTGGTGTGACCTCATCTGCACCGTGAAGAACATGATATTAATCATGAGGCAGTATCGCACCACCTCTGTTACCCTTTTCCTACGGGAGACTGATCACGAATATAAATAAGTTAATATCCTGCTTTGACGCCTTGAGGCCTATGCAGGTTTTTATCGGAAAATATGTACATTAAGTAGGATGACTCAACTTGACATTTAGAGCACCCACACTCAGATTTCATTTGCAGATACCACTCGAGGTTAACCCTTACGGCGTATAGCTTCTTCCGTGCATACCCACCACAAGGAAAATCGTGAAAAACATTTGGTTATCCGAGTGTGCTTTCATCATCCCACAAATACTATATCACCGCTAGAGAGAGTGGTGTGTAGGTCTTGCTGGATTCGAACTAGCTTTCTCCTGTCTCAAATTGGGTAGGTGTTCAAGCTACCCAGAATTTACTTGGTAGAACGGCCCGAATGGAGTACCACTGCACCATCTAGCCCACTGACCACGATTACTTTTCCATTTAGACCGAATATCTTCGACCGCTCGAGTTCCTTTCCGTCACATAATCATCTGACTCCGTTAATCACAAGCCCAGGAATTCTTGTTCTGGTCTCCGCCAGTCTCCCCTTTATGATACCAGTCATGATGGCATCTCTTTCCCGTAGATTTTTGTCCTCAACTGGACCGCGATAACATCAACAGGAAACCCTTGTCTCGGAATTTAAAATTCCGAGGGTTGTGCCATGTCGAGTGTCGCTTCCCTGTGGGATACCGACTGAACAAACACCTCGATATTGTTGCTTTGTATTCGGGGTATAGCATAAGCATCCTTTGTGTGTTCCTTAACCTTTGAAAGCAGCTACTTCGGATGCAAGATTTTCGCTCCATCGAATCTTGGGAAAACTAGTTTTCGCCTTTGGTGGCGCCACGACAGACACGTATGTCCTGCAGGCAAACGACGCAGAAACCATTGATGGAACCACCTTTCGGGTGGGACCCCCGAGACTACTCTTGTCGAACTAATTCCACGCCATCATTCTCTCCCAGATAAGAGACGTGTCGCCGGAAATCGCTGTCCAGGAATTTTAGTAAATATTACAAGCCTTCACAACTTCATTGACCTCCTCCGTGGTAGGGAAATCCTCCTACTCAACTTCATCCATCACAATAAGTCTAATTCTTTTTAATAGGTTCCCAAGATCTAAGGATTTTTATCCTTTGGGGGCTGGCGGCGCTCCAAAGCCTTAAGAGTTGTTTGCCTTTGGCGTTATCGCTGTTTGCGATACGTCTAAACCACTAAGTATACCCACACCAGTTACCGCACCTGCCATGATGTCGTACGGGAGGCTTGATGACGGAGAATGGGTGAATGAGTGATTAAAGTGAGTTTTGCGATGTCAAATTGATGTTAGAGGCTACGTGGAACATTGCGCAACATTACGTGAAATTTCAATTTTCTTCTCCCCGGTTTTTACAAAAAAACTCGTAGCGTATACAGCAATCTAGCTTTGAATAACCCCTCATTTATTTGTACGATGAAAATTTAGGTGAAAACAACATGCACTCTACAACAAGAAATCTGCAGAATTTCCCGAATAGTCACACAAATGAAGGTAAATATCGTAATTTTTGGATGGTTTTTATTGGGCTAATGGAGCCAATGAATACTCAATATATTGAGCTTCTCTCTGGCCAAAGCTACAACTTGCAGGGTATTACTTTCTCATTTTTTACGAAATAAAATCACTCATCAAATACCCATGACAGACAGTGACTTTGATGAGAATAACCGTTGATATTTAAAATTTCGGCAACCTACCAAATTTCTGAGATTAGAATTCAATAATCATACTTCTCTTAAGTCATTAAAAACCTCCTCTCATGAGGAAAGGATTCTGGCCTTGGAAACGGCAGTCAAGAAGAATCTCGGGGAGCCAGTGCGCAAGACGACTCTTCAGCCGGTAAATACAACGGGAGGACGACCTATCTTTGCATTAATCTTCGCCCCGTCAGCCGCAAAAGCGGCAGTACGGATATGAATTGATGGAGCAGACAAGATGTAGCCGGCAAAGCTGCTTATCAAGGCGAAACAACTCATCGAGAGGGGCATGTATTGAAAGGCTGAGGGCGATGGATAGGGAGACTTCACCTTATGAATAGAATACTGATAGGTATGTGAGAATTCATTAGATCACTTGGACAGAGTAAGATGATTATATGATGGATAATTGTATTTGTGGATAATGGACGTAGATACTGAGAGTAAAAAGGCCCTATGTATATACAGGAGTTCCTACCCTTATTCCTCTACATGTTATTGTCTATGATAGCTAGAGTAACTACAATGGTGTCCTCATTGAAGTGAACACGTTGATGTCAGTATGTAGCAACCAGGAGGCAATAGTGATCAGACTCTAAGGGGTTAACTTAGCTGGTGCACGGTTATCCCCTCATGGTGTGTGAAGTTATGGATTCATGTTTTTACAATAGGATATGCCGTTAGGCAGCCACGGAGCAACGACAAAGAGGTGTGTTTTTATTGTACTACTTGAGTCTGTGACTATCTAGCATATTGGGCTCCTCTCTGACCTAGGCTACACCTTGTATAATGATTCTTGCCTCTCATGTTATTCGAAAGTTCATTGATATACTGCCCTTGATGAACAGCAATTCAGCTCAGTATTTACCCGTGGAATTCAGCCACCTTTTCCACGGAACTTTCTACCCAAAAAAAAAAGGTAGCAATGGAAACTGTGTGCGCGGGAATATGTCTCAAAAAACCTGCAGCCCCAGCTAGGCAAGGCCTGGATGCGGTTCCTGATGGATTAGAGTGTGTGAAAAGTGAGATAAGCTTAGCTTTAAGATGGCGTAAGTTACGGGTGTCTCGTGGCTCCAATCTACCAATATGTATATCAGAGCTTAAGACTAGATGTAATTTGGTTTTCTATCAATACAGGGAATCGTCTTTTTTTATTTTTAAATCATTTAAGTGTATTCAGCAATGGAGCTATGACACCTGACCGGTGCTATGTATACATATTTGATGACTCTTTTGACGTTAGAGACACTCATACTCTGGATTTCATTCGCAAATGCCACGATGAGGTATGCTTGCTTACACAAATAGTCGACCCTCCTCCGTAAGTACCCACCAAAGGGAATTCCAAAACCTTTGGTCATCCAAGCATGCCTTCGTCATCCATGCATACCAGCGCCGCGAGAAATGTGGTTGTGTTTTGCCGGATTTGAACCAGCGGTCTCCTGTCTCAAGCGGGATGAGTGTCCAAGCTATCCAGACTCTACTTGGCAGACCGGCCAAGACGATGTACCACCGCACCATCCAACCATGGCCGTGTTTATAGTGTCGCCTGCACTCTCGGAACCGAAGCCTTGGCGCCAGAAAGCTCATTTTGTAAAAGCTCCTTGCCAAAATTCGAAATTTCATGCGCGTCGAGGTAGTATCCATCCTCGGCATCATCTTATCAACTTATCCTGATCCCTCTCGGGTCCATCCCAAAAAACAGTCTCCCAGACTTGTCCGCCACGCTTTGCTTCCTCCATCGGGTATAAATATCGACGTGGGCGTGTATTTAGTGACGATCTGAGGCCAGAGAAAGTCGACGAGATGTGTGGTCGTTGGAATGAGGATGTACTAGGTCGTACTTGTAGACTTGATGAGGCTTAGTTAGGAATCGACTTTGTTGGAAGTGAAAGATTGGCATGGTGGAGTATTTTGAATCAATGCCACGAGGGCCAACTTCTTTGGTATTGCAAAATTTGACTGAACTTGGCTCTGGGAGAATATTTCACTCCCAGCTTCGTAGAGGGCACCACGTACAGGTGTTCAATCTTGCCCTCCTTAGAAGAGGCTTCTTGTGCCTAGAAAGTGATTGCTTTTCCTCACTGTTTACTGCAGAATATTGAAAGTTATCATGGTTTAATTTATCAAATATTGTTAGTTTCTTTCATGTAGGATCTAGAAGTCCGCTGTAGTCATCGACTTAGATAGGACTATAACAAAATCCAATCTAATCTAAGTGATAGTTGAAGCCTCGTACGCCTGAAATATTTTCCTTTTCAACCTTACTGTAGTTGAGCGAAGGGATGGCGCGGTTAAGAAACAAGCTAATTTCAATAGATACGTTTTTACACTAAATTCCGAACTCACGGCGAAGGTCACCCTCATACAGCTTGCATATTATTATTATTATTATTTCATTTTATTGTCCTATCTGGGTCTATGACTATGTAGGACATGCAGGTCCTCTCTGCCTACAGGCCAAGGATATCTACGCCGGTAGAATATCCCATCCTATGCCTCCTATACAGCTACCCTCAAACAGTACCGCCCCTCACAAGTCCTCATTCGATCATACACTTAGAGGAGCCCTTTGCCCTTCATTATTTCCCCTCTCCAGCCAACGAAACGATGGCCATTTGCGGGTGTATGGCAGCCGGGAAAAATCGCAAAAACCACTGGGTACAGGGCTCTTATAATACCGACATTAGGACTAAATCCGAAGACATAGTGATCCTTCTGAAGCGTTCGAAAAGGCCGGACAGCTGGGCGCTGCAAACTTGTGTGTACCTCAGGAAATTCACACTCTGCCTTTCTAGCCTCCTTCCAACTCCTTCCCGAAGGTCGTGATATACAGCTTGCTGATAGCCTCTGAACTAATTTTTTTTCCTGGCCAGCTCCAACGTCTTAGCATCGTGGAAATTGTTATCGTGATTACAAGGCGACCTAAATATACTGGTATTGAATCATGCCAATTATTTATACGGTAAAATCCAATTTTAGTATAGATTCGAATAATTCTACTCTTCTTGTCCAGGTTATTATAGCCAGCCTCTGATTATCATTGTTTAGAGGCATAGAATTGAAACTCATTCACTACGAGGGGGTTAAGTGAGAATTTGGCAGCTCTATAATGAGAAAAGCCGAGCCAAACACTAGGCAGAATGTATATTCAGGATGTAATTTATCTCCAGCAACTAGTACTGATTTTGATGAGCATTTCTAACTATATTTGTCGTGCTTACTTTTGACCTTTATGAGAAGTAGGGCTTCATGATAGCTGCCCTCTTTTCTTGCGCGCTTCAGCTTCCGTATTTCATCATCATCGAGTCTTCGTCCTACAGCTTCTTCAATCTCCTTGCGACTTATCTTTTCTCTCGCCTTTTCCTTCTTCGTAATCTTGTATTTCGGCTTGAAGCGGGCCTGCATGCGTATGCGAATTTTCGTTGCAGAGGAAGCTTCTTCTGCGTCTCCACGGATCTCGAGACCTGCATTAGATTTGGAGGGTGGCGCGACAGTAAGAAAGGAACCCCGTAGTGTTTGAATCTCGAAGGTACCGGGCGATTGTACTGAAGGAATAGCCAAAAATGACTCAGAAGGTGATACAGCTTCGGAATTGCTCGATAGCAAACCAAACTTGTCACAGCCTAGATACCTACGCCATAGATAATATTAGATGAGTTCTGTTAGGGTAGTTTGAGCGGCATACTTTCCATGATGTCCTTTGAAGTTTAAAGACTCTGTTCCGGCAACTCGGTTCGCAACCCACACTTGACGTACATCGTGCGGTTCGGCGCTGGCAGGATTCTTATCGATAATGTTTTCTAGCTCACTGGCGTAGACCTTTCCACTGGAATCGCAAGCGATACATGTCGGCGATTCCGAGGGTAGAACAATCACTACTGGGCCGACGACATCTACAGATGTTTCGGCGCTAATCCAGCTGTCGTCGTCAGTTCCGTTATCGTCTACCGCCTTTACAGTGTGGGCTTCTGAGGCTGCCGAGAAGCCTTCTTTGGGAAATTTATCATCTGATTCTATCCGTTTTCTTTTCTTTATCTTTTTGTCGCCCTTAAAGGTAAGCGCTTTTACCATCTCTTTAAGCTGTGAGTCTTATAAATGCGAATCAACAGATACTGGGTATATAACTTTGTCTGGGCAACCCGTCTGGCAATAAGGTGTTACTTTACGCGTCTTGTGACAGATGACGTATAGGTTAGATGCTGAAATCCATGCGACATGAAATGGCGCCGTTTTGAGAATGAGGGCGAAATTATTTCTTACGGCCTTGATCAAACACTTCTTGCAAGCCCGGAAAACTTTGCCCACCGGGCCCTAAGTCATGGCTCTCCATTACATCTATCTCTCACTTCCAACGAGATCAATCCACGCCAAAGCCTTATCAAATCCCAAAGCACGTGATAATACACCTTCGTTCCAATGACCACACCTCCCCATGATTCAAATTTCATAGAAGCCCTCCATTTATCCCATACACGCACATAAGTACCAATATCCCGGGTTCTAACAACCAGTAAAATCAAGCAGCACCTGGCTACGCACAATCAGCAGTTGTCCTCGGCGTCAATCGACCCAGGCGACCAATTACACCCGAGCCTTCTTGGGATTGCTGCTGCGATGGAGCAATCAGAGCGCGAACGAAAGCAGAATAGAATTAAATAGAAAAGAATTAAACTGAAGTACCTCACGAAAGCAGAGAATGAACCTAGCTTAAGAGTTTCTGCAAAATATCGACGACTAGGCGAAATCCAAGGCAGGAACTAAAGGCGCGGCTCTAGTCGCGCCATTCATCGAAAAAATTTCACCCATTGTGACAGCGTTAGTAATAGAAAAGACCGATGCCACAGTCCCTGAAGGCAAAGCTGCACACCCTGAAGCCACGGAGATAACAACCTCTGCGCCTAGGGCAACAAAAACAAGCGATAAGTCGCATGACCAACTACCTTAAAAGCCACAGGAGACTGCGAACCCATGGGTTACAGTAGCTCGGAAAGTGGCTAAGCTCCCAGATCCATCCAGATTCCCCACCCCTCGAAGGCCTATTACAGGCGTGTAGCCTAATGCACAAAATCCTCAAAAAGAGTACAAACGTCTCTTTGTCAGACTGGGGCAAGAACATGGCTGGCTCAAATTGTCTCCAGTCACAATAAAGGAGTTGATCATTGAGAAAGCTGGAGTTGCAGCATCTGCGATCACGGCTATGTATCAGGTTCGATCAGGCCTAGCAATGGAGTGCGCATTAGACGGGCTTCGAGAAACAATGCTGGGAGTTGCAGGAATATTTCAGCAAGAAAACATCTGCATCGAAGCAGCGTCGGATTGGACGTCAATGATAGTGCCACATGTACCACTATATATCAGAACACTCGAAGGCAGTATTTCGGTAACTAACGAAATGGTTAGAACGGAATGTCAAGCTAGATGTGGGGTCACACTAGTGCGGGTGCGACCGTACCCAGCTAGGCTCGGACAATATTCCACGAGTTGGATTATTCACTTCAAACAGAAACCGGCAAATTGTAAGTTCAGGCTCTTCGACGAAAGCGGACCAGTAATCCATTCGTTCGCCAACGCCCCATGGAACAGTGTCAGAGATGCTGGGGATTTCAAAACATACGGTCATGCAGCAAAGGACAAAGGTGCGGAAGATACACCGGAGTACACGAGACAAATGAATGTTAATTCAAGGTACTTAAATGTGCAAATTGCGCAGGTCCTCATGAATCGACCAACCTGAACTGTATGGCGCGACCTAGGCGGCAGGACGGAATATTCCACCCCCGCACAACAGCGGAATTAAGAGTTATTCGAGAACATGGACATCGTGACTTTCAGGCTGCACTAGCAGAGTCGGAGAAAAAGGGTAAGGCCCTAAGGGTTGTGTTCACCCCGGAAGACACGATGCAAAATTAATGAGTTGTACAACCACAACTCATAACCACACCGAACAACAACACGCCCTTCTATTTCACCAAGTGAACGTGGGAAAGGGCGGAGAGAACATGGATATCGCACTTCCGCAGGCAATCAGCTTCGCCTGTAAAGGTTTATCGGCAACGTAAATATTCCCTTCATCCCAGGACCAAGCCGGCGATTACTGCTCTATGAAAGCCTGCGGGGTGACGTTTGTTAATGTATATTTTGCATCAGGACTTAATGATACCCTTGATTCCTTGCTTAGATGGCGCCCCTCGGGCCCTGCAGTCGTAGGGGGGGCTTCAACGCCGTCTCAAGGCACTGGCAACCACAGGCTACTCGTCAGTACGGTAATGTTATCCATATAATGGAATGGGCTACAGCTCAGGATATGCATTTACTTACCACTATCGGCGTACCTACGCACAGGGATGGAAATGTGTTGGATCTTGTATGGAGCAACGTCACAGTAGAGGCATTGGTATCACACGAGTATAACTGCACCCCAGACCATATGACTATCGTTGGGTCCGTTGAAGCGAGACGAAAGCCCGATATGTCTAGAATAAGCCAGGAACTGCGGCTACGCGATCAAGATCTTGCTAAGTTTGCCCAGTATGTCAAAGCGTGGGTCAGACCAAGCCCTTTGAACAGTGTAAGCGACATTGAATGCCAGCTATCAATCTTGATGGAGACCTTGGGTGACGCACGCAAGGTAGTAGGTTACAAACCTGCAAGAGCGCAAGAAATCACAGCTCTGTGGTGGAATGAGGACTGCAAACTTAAGCACCGCGAGTACCAGAAAGCTAGAAGCTGCCCAGACAGCGGGACAGAAGTACGGAAAAGGTTTAAGCATGCAGTTAGAGTGGCAAAAAGAGATCACTGGAGGAAGCAGGTTGAGAATGCTACGACAGACTCACAAGTCTTCAAATTGATGCAGTGGACAAAACCCAAGATAGGCCGAGATACTCCCCCCCTTTAAAATCGTGGAGGATACGTGGACATCAGACCCACTCAAACGAGCAGAAGCTCTAAGGGACTCTCTTCTCGCCAAATTTGACGCGGCCCACGATCTCCCCACGTGGGAACCCGAACAAACAGAGTCGATCCCCTGGAATGCGACAATATCACTAGAGGATGTAACGACAAGCACTATTGGCTTAGGCAACAAGTCCCCAAGTTCAGACAAGATAACAGTGCTACTGCTGAGTGCATGCTGGCTAGCCATTGGGCGACAGGTAAGGAACATCTTCCAAGCTTGTTTAGGGCATGGGCATTTTCCTACCATATTTCGAGTAGTAGAAATCACCATGCTTCCAAAACCAGGGCGGGACCTAGCAACAGTTAAAGGATGGCGACCGATCTCCCTTCTATCTTGCTTGGGAAAAGGGCTAGAACGAACAGTAGCTAAAAGAATGGCATGGCTAGCAATCGAACATCGTGTTTTCCCTCATCAGCTTTTCGGCGCACTCCCAGGACGCTCAGCAGTCGACCTTGTTTTATATGTCATTCACGATGTAGAGGTAGCAATGCGGAACAACAAGGTCCCAGCAATGGCTACCCTAGACGTGCAGGTTGCATTTGACGCAGTTTTTCACAAACGGCTGTTACACCGGATGAGAAACCAAGGGTGGCCCAGGCTATTATGCCGATGGGTCGAGTCATTTTTGACCTGACTAAAGATACGTGCTCGACATCAGGATTGAATGAGCCGAGATAAAATCGTGGAGTGTGGGGTTCTGTAAAGCACGCCACTATCACCACTACTATTTCTCCTGTACATTTCCACTCTATTCAAAGATTGGAGCGAGGTCAACAAATTTGGGTACGTAGACGACATCACAATTCTCACCACTAGAAGCATAGTAGCTGAAGCGGTAGAAAATGGTCAAGCAGAAGTGGAGAGGCTTTTGCGGGTTGCAAACGAGCATGGAATAAGTTTTGACCCGACGAAGTCTGGCCTATTGATAATTGGAGAGGTCCCAAGAAAATCTGGACACGACAGGCTTAGCTATCTAGATCCAAAGCAACACGATAACACCTTCCCCGTATATCAAATGGCTTGGGGTATGGATAGACTCCGAACTCAAATTCAAGCAGCATGTGCAAGAGTGGTGTGGGGAATCCCAAAAGCTAACGCAGTTTATACGGCGAATCAACAGCGTTAAACGAGGCGCAGGCCCGCAACCAATGATGAATTCAGTACAGGCATGTATCATAAATACATCGATGTATGGAGCCGAAGCATGGTAGCCGGCCTTGACCCGGGTCACCACTAATCGGAGCAAGAAAGCGACCACGGGAATCGGCTGGCACACTGATCCCCTGGATAGCACGATTATCAAGGCAATCCGGGTAGCACTACCGGCATGGTGAACTACCCGGAATAAGGCTCTCCACAAAGAGTCTAGTATCCCCCGGCAGCGATCATCCTTCAGCAAAGGCAATTGAGAGCTGCGGCGCGAATTCAACGAATGTACACGTGGCATCCTCTGGTAGACAGATCCAAAGAGGGTCCAAAGAAAACCACAAACCGCCTAGGACTCCGCGCAGGACAAAAGAAGCGAACGTTCATAAATCCAGAGCGTTACCTGACACGCTTTCAGACCAGAATTCAGAACTTACCGCTCGCTTTAGAGTCCGGAAGACTTTTCTATCCAAAAGTGGATCGCAGCTAACAATCAGCGACATTAGATAAGCTGTGACGCACGGATACGCGAAGGGTACACGTGCAACATTCCTCACGCAAAAGACATGTAACTGTTGACAGATAGCTTTACCACAGTGCAAACTGGCCTAAAAAGGCTCAATATTAGATCCGTACATTCTATAGCTATCTTACTATATATTGTAGACTTGTGAGCTAACACAGAGCGCGACACAGGCAGACTGAAGCTACTCTAGCCAAACAATGGATAGAGTACTTGCCAACCGACACTATATGTGCTTACCTAGACGGCTCATCTTGCAGGCTGGAAAAATCTGTATGGGGCTATACTCTATTCAGATGACGACAAATGATTGGGAGCGGCGCAGGCCCTATGCTCGGTGCAGAGGCTTATGACGCGGAACTCTTTGGAGCCCAGAAAGCCCTCGAAGCAGCACTACTGGTGGCCGGCAGCAACTCAATCAAGGTACTCATAGACAGTTTACAGGCT